CTTCAGTCTGACGTACTGTGGTCTCTCCGTGAGGTAGTCCGTAATCCATGTCACCAGGAGTATATAACATATAACATAACATTATTTTACATTTTATTATATTACAAATTATTTTTTATTTATTATTTTTATTATTAATTATTATTAAGGTGCAGTATAATTAAATTATATATGTGCACTGAGCACGCACCAATCATTGTCAAAACTTTGCTAAATTGGGCTGAATATATGAAGTCAGCTGTTTGGGAGCTGAAAGAACCAACTCTTATTGCTGAGCAGAGCCAAATGATCAGGATCACTAATAAGAACCAGAATTCACTATCACCAAGAAAATTAATTGTTAAAGAAAATCTGTTTATTTTTTCTCTTTATTTTTACAATATATGAAAGAAATGAATGTACATGTATAATGTAAAATAACATATAAAATCTGTATCTGTAAATAACATTACTGTTCAGTTATTTTTTGGCACCCCAGCTGTTGGAATGTTGTTGTTGTTGTTTTTTTAAGATTTTTATTTAGAGTAAGCACTGGTTGTATGCTCTGTCAGAGGTGCTTACTGGATGGTCAGATAGCTTCAGAAACCCCTTCCCAGCATACCCTTCTGACATCGGATTAGGAGGGGGCTGTGTCCGATCATATCTGTAGCTTTCCGAGACAGAATCATGCTTTATGTATGACGTACATTAGCATTGTGTGGGAGTACTGAAGACTTGCCTAACTCAATAAAAATGTCTAACTAGCAGGAGGTGACAAATCCACTACATTCAGCACACCCCTGTGATTTCTCTCCTCCTTTAAAAGGCAGATGAAGCTGCTGATGTGTGTGTTGTGTAATCAGAACACGGGGTGGTGGGTTCAAATTCAGTCCAACCTATCATCCAGGAGTGTGTGCGTGTGTGTGTAAAACCAAATTACCACAGAGCATGTCAAACTGTTGTTGAAGGGAGTACTGGGATCTATAAAAAACACTGCATCGCTATGGAAACTGCAGCCTTGCATACAAGTGAATCCACTCCTTCACTTACAGCACACACACACCTGCAGTGGAAATGAGCGCTAACATCAATAACCTTCTGTACTGATGATGAGGAGTGCCTCTGGGACAAATTCTTTCACCTCATTTGTTTCTCAATTTATCCACAAATCACAGCAACACTCTCAACATGCCGTCAAACAATTGTATCTTCTAAAACGGTCTGTTTAAAGATGTAGATTAAACTGAGCATGAAATTAGAAAAGATAATATATATATATTTTGTGAATATAGGGATGCTAGATTTGCAAGTAATTGGAGTAAATATCTAAAGCCAGCTGTTAGTGTCTGAGTGCTGCACTGTTTGGGGACATATTATACTAAACTCACTTTTTCAGTGCTTGTGCACATTCTCAGTCAGAAGACAGCTTATCAAGCCATTCAGATTTAGCTCCCCTTCATAATAATTACCTACAGATATTTACTGACAGCTCAAAAGATCAAAGGGATCACGTAGAAACAGGATTCCACAATTTCAAATCCATTCAGGAAACAGAATAATGATAAACGATCAGTTTATACAGCTGAGATGATGGCTGCAATTATTGGTGTTCAGAACAGACAGAGTAGTGCTGTGTATTGACTCTATGTAGTCAGTTAAGGAAGATTTAATGTTTGAAAATGTCAATATTTATGTATAATTCAGAGATGTGTTTAATTTTGTTGGGTACCTGCACATGTATGAGTTAGGGTAATGAATTTGCAGACAGGGTGGCTCAAAAAACACTAAATATGAAGCAAAGGGGTAAAGAATGAATGCAAAAAGGAAATATCTGTCAAAAATGGTGGGCTGGAGACACTGAGGGTACTATAGAATACAAATAACACACTATTTCTATTGGGGAAAGTAGATTCACAAGTATGTGTGCACTGTGAAAATGGTAGTATAATATAAATGTAATAATGCAATGTGTCGATCTCGAATGGCGAGAAGGTGTGGGAAGCGCAGAGAGGGTAATATATTTCTTAGTAAACACAAGATTGTTTGGTAGAATATAGTACAATAGGTTGGATGTTTTTTGTTATTAATTCATTTCAATGCTCCCTGAAGTTGAGATTGCAATCTGCCAGAAAACTCGAAGAAGAAGAAGAAGAAGAAAAAGAAGAAGAAGAAAAAGAAGAAGCACAGCGAGGGTAATATATTTCTTAGTAAACACAGGATTGTTTGGTAGAATATGGTTGAATAGTATGGTATATAACATATGTATTTATTTATTAACTTAAGACCAATGTAAACTTAAACAGACCCTGTTCTACATACTCCGGTACGATAGGTGGCGACATGCACCTTAAAGTTGAGATTGCAAATTGCCTTGAAGAAGAAGCAGCAGCAGCAGAAGAAGAAGAAGAAGCAAAAGTAATAGTAATAGTAATAGTAGTAGAAGAAGAATCGAAGAAGTCGAAGTAAAGAGGTCTAAAAGAAGAAAAGGAATAAAAAGAAGAAAATGATTAAAAAGAAGAAGGCGTAGTAATAGTAACAATAGTAGTAGAAAAAGTAATAGAGGAAAGAAGAAGACTTTTTTAGGAAGTTCCGCCATTATTTTCCCTGCAAGATTTCAGTAAGATGGAAGCCCGGAACTGCTCTGTTGTCGGCTGCACAGCCCAACACCGGTCTCTGCACCGGCTGCCAGCCGCAGAGCACTTGAGAGTTCAGTGGATAAAGTTTGTTTACAATGAGGACAACCCAGCTACAGTCCGAAAGAAAGTGTACGTGTGCGCTAACCACTTTCTGTCTGACTGCTTTGTCAACCTGGGTGGGTACAACGCGGGGATGGTAAGCAGACTGATCCTGACAGGGGGGGCCGTGCCAACTATCCGGAGCAGGACTGCGGGCGAAGGACTAGTAACTTAAGTGTCTGAACATATTGTGTGTTTCTATGGCTGTGCGGCACCAAGCTATTATACACACACACACACACACACACACACACACATATATATATATATCGCTGTTCGCTGTTAGCTGCAACTGTTATTCAAACTAATAACTAACAGCAGTCAATGTCAGGCAACATTATCATACTAGTTCTAGCACTTACTATGTCTGTAGTGGTGACAGAACATTAAAATGTATATATAGCAGTTTGAATTCAACCACAAGCTAATGTTACCTGCGCCAAACTCCCTTTAAGAAAATGTCCCAATTTTACACAGTTCCTAATGTGTCCTGTAACAACAGTTAACTCTCAAGAAACACGAGCTAAAGGCCGTTATTTGTCTTCTTCCATAAAGATAGTGTAGTAAGATAAGTGTATTCTGTCCAATCTTTGCATTTTATTGCTTCGTTGTGTTCAGCCTCCATTGTAGCTGTGCTCTTTCAGTGGGAGAACTGTGGGAATGAGAGGCGGACCGTTTCAAAAATAAGGATTTCTCATTAAAATAAGTGCTGGTTGGTGGATCAGATACACGCCAAATTGAACACAGACACACAACCCTGTTAATGCTATCTGAGAATTTAAAAACATCTGACTGTACCAACAGTGTAACGCTTGCACTGGAACAATAACAAACCTGTCAAGGTACTAAATAGTAATGGAAAACTGCCTTCAAATTATTATGCCAGATTTATTTGCTATTACTGCACTTGTAGGTGTGTGTTTGGGAGGCTTGTGTTCTGTCCAATATCCTAATAATTAGAGTTATATCTGCACTTATACACGCAGTGTTTGTATGTCTGTATTGTGACATTAGAAAAAGGCATGCGTTTAATGTCGCTGCTGTTGGTGTTTAGGCAGACACAGTAGGGCAGTTGTCTGCGGTGCAGCATGTGGCGTGCCAGACGGACCCACCAAAGAGGTGCACAGTGGGAACACAGCTTTCAATCAAAACTCTCCAAACTCATGTCAGAAGTAAAGGTCAGTGGACAGTCAGTTACTGTGTGATATGATTCCTTATGTTTCTGTCCAGTAATAAGCAGCAATTGCTTCAGACTTTTTAGGATTTTCTGTCTGTTTTTACATCTGAGGTACACAGAAAACAGTGTCCTGCACTGATGTTGGCACCTCAACTGCTGCATTCACTGCAACACAGCTATTCCAAGCATCAACACCACTAGAGAGGCCATGCAAGAGACCTCGTTTGGAACTGGAGGAAGAGGAGAACCCTTCTGAAGGCAGCTTATCATCGGATGTTGAAGAAGCGTCTGATTGTACATACGACCCTGCGGACTCTCCCGCAGCCTCGTCTGAGTCACCAGACGTGACGTGAGTTACCCGATCATTCAGCCTACACATTTTAATATTCAGTTTGTGTTAGAGTCCTCTAATTATCGTAGCTCAACCAGTGTGTGAAATCTGACAATGTTTGTCAATTTGATGTCTTTGTAACAGAATGGGATCCTCCCGCCCTGTCCATAAGACACCAACCTACACTGTGTATGAAAACTGCCTAATGGAGCTGTTTGAGCTGTGTGCCCTGTGTGTAAGCGGGAATGTGACGTGTTGGTGCCTGTCCTGTCTGTTTCTTTCTCCCACAGATCTTCCGGGCAATGCAGTTGAAGATGTTTCAATACGACTCCTTTCGAAGGCATGCTCGGATGTACATAGAGCCTGCGATTGTGCACAGATGGAAGGAGGCGCAGGATACCATGCTGGAGCAGCTCAGTCAGCAGCAGAATGTCATCCTTAATGGTGACCTGAGGGTTGACTTAGCAGGTACATAACGCTGCGTGTTACCCTCAAATTCCACCGGGCACCACACAAAGTCTCACACAGAAACAGCACGGACAATCCGGTCTGGATCAACTTCACACCAGAGGTCAGTCAGTCAGAGGCAGGGTAGAGCAGATTTCAAGTGGAGAAACACCTTTTTGTATCCTTGTATAAAAACAAAACACACACGTAAACAACATCAAGCAGCCCCCCCCCACCGCACCGTTTCTGAAGCGATCTTGGTGGGATTTGAAGACGCAGAGATCAGAGAGCCAAACCACTACATCACAGGGTTTTCTAAAAAATAGATACACCATACAATCATACATAAAAGATAATGTATGTAAAAGTAATGTATTTGTTTTTAAAGGACATTCTGCCAAGTTTGGCAGCTACACAATGATGGACCTGAGGAGCAACACTGTTATTGATTTACAGCTGGTTCAAGTGAGTGAGGAGATCTGCTCTCAGCTACGTTCAGTCAGTGCTACAATAGAGGGGCTGCCATGGTTAACTGTGTTTCTTTTATAATCAGAGTAATGAGGTTGGTGGAAGCTACCACATGGAGAAAGAGGGCCTGAAGAGGAGCCTTGCTCTGTTGGAGGAACGGGGTGTTACTATGGATAGTATTGTGACAGACCGTCACCCCCGAGGCCAGAGGTTCCTCAGGGAGGCCAGAATCACACAATACTACAACGTGTGTCACATGGAAAGAGGTTGGACTTTTAGCTAGAACGTGACGGTGTATCATTTGTAGAATATTATAATTATATATCAATATTGTAATTAATATACGCTGTATATCTGTGAGTGACTCGTGTACACTTTTGCTATTGATAGGGTTGTCCAAGAAACTGTTGAAGATCTCACAGAACAAGGAGTGTGAGAAACTAAAGAAGTGGCTTCTCAGTATAAAAAACCACATCTACTGGACGGCTGCTTCCTCTACATCAGTGCCAGAGAGAGCAGCAAAGTGGACGTCCATTCTGAACCACGTCCGGGACATCCACACCCACGAGGACCCCCAGTGTTCTCATCCACCCCACACTACAAAGGATCAGGGCAAATGGTTGACCGCAGGTGTGTACACATTATCATCTGCAGCCAGTGTTACTGTAAGAGTTTTAAACACTTTGAATTTATGATAAAAAACTTTGTTTACAGGAACACCAGCCTTCTGTAGATTGGAGAAGGTACTGACCAATAAGAGGGTTCTGAAGGACGTGGAGAAGCTGAGCCCTCACTACCCGACCTCGTCGCTCGACGCTTTTCAAAGAATCATTCTGCGTTTTGCGCCCAAGAATGTTGTCTTTCCTTTTCTTGGAATGCTGTGCAGGTAAATAAGAGCGGCTATATTATTAGAAATAGGAGTATGCACACACATCCAAACCAAAACCGACCTTGTGCAGAGCTTAAGCTGTGCAACTCCTGAAATGAACAAAGGAAAAGGGCTCCGATGTCCACTTATTAATACAGCGCGGTGATAAGTGGACATTGGGGGCCCACATTCTGCGACGCTTTATGTGAAAATAAAGCATTGTCTGAATGCTGTAACGTCTATACATGCTCTCCATCTTTATTTATCTTTTATCATTTCTCCTCCCAAGGCTATACCTGGTAGCACTGCACTTCAATGAGAATGCAGGACGTCCACAGGTAGCGGCATCAGCCAGAGAACCGACGGGAGAGTGCGCAGCGAGGCCAGAGAGAGCACAGCCAACCTTCAGTAAGATAAAGCTCATATTCAGAGTGCAACAATGAGCACACAGCCATCTACAACAAGGGAAAATAAATGACATCAAGCCACTGAGTGGAGTCGGATACTTTCACATAGTGAACACAATTTGCTTTTTGGTGTCTCAGATTACGTGGATGAAGTGTCCCGGACCCTGGCCCATATGCAGATGAGGTGCTGAAGATCCCCATCCCGAAGGATCTCTCTGCGCAGACGGACAGCTACCTGTGCAGTGTTCGCTTGAGGACAGGTCTGAACCCCACGTTGGAACCCATTGAGCTCCAGGGAAGTCTGTCCGTACAGCTAGCCCCACGCAGCTGGGCAGTACTACGCCAACTCCTGTAGGCCAGGTCTCCGGACTGAATGACAAGTCCACTTTGTTCAGCTGTTGCAAAGTAAATGGTGACACATTTATAGTGTGTCCATTTTCTTTTTAATATGGTTTCTATGAAAACTAACTGATATACTAACTATACAAAATTGTAATTGTATTTCAGCCCCTCACTCAGATTTTGTGAACCTTTTACCAAAGATGCAAAGCAGAACCAAAAATGCTCCTTCTTCATTTCTGCTCCTGTGTCCGTTCAGAGCTGTTCACACCACTTGTGGAGAACATTTGGCATCCAGTCTGTTGGAAATGCTGCAGACGCTCACATCTACACACATCCAGGCTGTTATTAATGAGCACATCTACATTTGTTGTTGATGTTGTTAATTGTACGTGCAACTAACACTTACCCCTTCTTACCTCTTTTTGGAATAAATTCTACTTGATTTGAACTATTATCTACGGGCTCTGGCTAAATGAATGTTACAGTTATTCTCTATGCAAAAAGAACTGCTATATTGGTCCTTAAGGCCTGCAGTCTGCTCTGTAGGTATGTAGAGCATTCTGTAGTGAGAACACATTCACACATACTGGGACAGGAAGCTTGGTTCTGATTCTGATCTAGTGTTCTTGTGACCCTAATTAGAAAGGGTCAGCGAGCACTCATACTGCCTGTGTTTCTCTCCATCGGACATTGTCTGGCTCTGTAGTGTGGACCAGGGAGAGATTGCAGGTGTTGTTGATTTGAATGTTTTGTTAATAATAAGGACAGCTCACCATAAGCAACAGCTCCACGTTATTAATGGGAGTATGTCTATTACAATGAAATAATAAGCCCCTCACTCAGATCGCCACGTAGTTTGAAACTGGACTGTTGGTGGGATAAACTGTATGACGGCTTTACCAGATGCAGAGTGGAACTGCCTGATCTTTGGTCTGTTTTATCCAGAGGGAAATCCTCATATCTCATGACATTGTACAGTCTGAATAAACTAAGTGACACTTTTTTCTTGTGGAATAGTAGACGGGTGTATAATTCTTTGACTTTTGAGGTGGAGGTGATGCAGTTAATATGTTGCATGAAGCCTCTTTTTGATTGTTCGCAGATGTAGCTCTTGTTCTTCATTAATACAGAGTAAAACACTTGAATGTATTACATGGATTACTGAATTGAAACATGGACGGATGTTGGTGCGATCCCACGGTCTTCCATGCCACGGTCGAAGTATCCTTGAGCAAGATACTGAACCCCAAATTGCTCTCCATAGCATCGCTGTATGTGAATGTGTGTGAATGTTGTTTTGAAAGGGGAATGTGGAATGGTGTAAAAACTTATGACTAGAAAGGCGTATACAAGGTTACATACTGTATTGTACCATTACAATTGTATCAATGACACTGCATAGCTGCTCTCTGTCATTGTTTGGATTCAGTCCCCACACATTGGTGAACAGGCAATCTATAACCTCCAGATCAGCAGAAGATTTTGACAGTCAGCTTAAAATTGAAATGGGAGAGGAGTAAAAGGGAATTAAAAGGTCAGCAAGTACAAAGAATTGAAGGATGCTAACACAGAATATTAAAGGCTACTGTTCAGACCATGTCCACCTTTTCCTCAGAGTCCCCTTTATCTGTCATTATAAACTGACGACCTGACTCCAGTACAGAGAATTCTTTCATATTATATTAAACTGTACAATGAACCCAAACAGTGAACTCAGTAACTGCAGGAAGTTTGTGTAAAACAAGTGATTTGGATGTATTCTGAGCAGATTATTAACAGATTATTTCCTGTGTTTTCTGCATTTTGGCCAACTTCCTGCACATCCTTGCAGTCAGCAGTCCCCTCCATCTTCCCTGTCACTGAACTGCTGCCGTTCTCTTTGCATAGCTATTTCACACTTCTTTTTAAAAGAAATAAGTGTTAGTTAACAGCGCCTTTAAAGGGAGCGTGGGCTCTCACTGTGTCTGCCTGGCAGCTTCACACGCTTTCATACGTGTCTTCCTTCAGCCAGTGAACGTGCAATACAAGTAAATGAAGACAACTGACAAAATACTACAAACTTTGCTTTAACTTTCTAAAAGCATATAATTGCAGTCTGTACATTTTAAAATTACAGAGAAATGTTTCAGGAATTCTATTAGGCTTCAATCAAAAGCGTTCATAAAATAAACCCAGAGGAGAAAAACTGTACAAGAACAATCCTAAGGCAACGTCTGAACAAATGCATTTAAACAACAACTCATCCCACAGTGCCCCGCTGACTAACACATGCGTGACATTTCTTTGACCCCAATAAGTGCAGTGCAGAATAACAGTTCATATAATTCTGTGAAATATACCTGTGTGTAAAAAGAAACTAGAAATGAAACTGAAAACAAACTGAAAATTCTACAGTTAGTTCCATCTTTAATAGCCTTTCAACAAAGCTTCTCTTGTCCTCCGAGGCAGAATTCCTTTGGCATGTCTTGTATTCACAGTACAATTGCTTTAAAATGAAACCGCCCACACTGTCAGTGCCGTCCCTCTTTTTATAAAACACAATAAAATGGGTGTGATAAACTGAATGTGTAAAAGGAGGAATTTACAAATCCCAACTGTAGTTACTTTAAAACCGTTCAGAAAAGAAAATAGAACTCACTGGCGAAAAAGCTGAGTTATGTAATCCCACACTGAAGTGACACCTGAAGCTTCAGGGTTTTCCTGAATCAAAGCCCAACTTAGTTTCTTTGGTCCCACCATACCAACACTACTGTGACAGACTGAAATCAACATGGACTTTTATGCTCAGCCTCACAATCAAATGTACTGAGGCCCAAAGAAGTGGTAGCTACTATTGTCTTCGGCTCATTATCTGTCACAACTGAAACACTGTGCGATAACATGCTCACTTTTATCTAAAGTCAAACTGAAATTCAGTTCTGCCAGGAAATCTGTTTTGTACATTAATGGTCAAAATTGGAATTTCCTGTAGTGACAACACCTACTGTGGTGTTCTGTAGGAATGAATTTAAAACGAATTAAAAATGTGTTTACTGTCATTTATTTGCTTAGAGTTGAATTCCAACAGTCTAAACTGTGAGTTTGTAATCTGTTAGCCCCTCAGCACTCCGTACCTCACTCTGTGATTCAAACCACACAGTCCTGTTGTGAGTACTGAGCTCACAGGTCGACCTGTTGCTGTGAATTTTGATCGTTATCACCGCGATGTAGACCCATTAAAGACAGGCTAACGGAAGCACATGGCGCTAACTAGCTTCAACTTTGAGATTTTTCTTCCTGGTTCTTATTCTCATAATTGTGGCCTTCCTGACTTATAGGTCATGCTAACTCTGCATTCATCATCTTCAGGAAATGCAACTGAAGCAAAACAATGCACTGTATATTGGGAGAAACTGTGCTCGCTGCTTTGATTAGCTGGAAAGTTGCACTGGACGTAGGTCACTATGCAGTAAGCTACACTAGCTTCACTAGGGAGGACAAGCATTTGCAATGATGTATGTAAAATTAAAGCTTATTTGTAAAGATTCAAATGACTTCCTAGGTTTTTCGCCTTTTGCTTTCCAAATCTGCACACAATTGACCCTTCCTAAGTCCCGCCCCTTTCTGCTTTGAGCTCCAATAACAGTTGAGCAAGCATCAGTCAGAACCTCGGCCAACTTTGTCCTTTCCCGTACTTCGATTAATATGCTAGTCTAGTCTTGAAAAGACAACCACATTTTGAAGATGATTAAAAGATAAATGTTCATGTTAGCAAAACACTAGCTAACTAGCTAACTAACGATCATTGCGTTTTGCTAACATCAGCTAACTTAAGATGTGACTATATGAATGTCAGTTTCATCTTTTAACAGTCTTCAAAAATGCAGTTGTCTTTCAATATAGATTAGCCTAGCACATAGCATATCTGAGTACAGGAAAAGAGAAAGCTGACTGAGGTTCTGACTGAGGCTTGCTCAACTGTTGTTGGAGCACAAAAGGGACTTTTAAAAAAATGAAGGTCAATTCTGAGAATAAGACCCAGGTTGAAAAATACCAGAATTTTTCTTCAACAAGTTACCTTTAGCACCAGCTCTCACTTGTCACACAACCAATGTCATGCCTTTATGCTTTCCACAAAAATGTGTCCAAAAACATTTTTGATAGCTGCCTTATCATTATAGTTTATATTTCAGGTGGACTTATAGCCTGCAATCCCAAACTGAATTCTAACATTATCTTGATACATTGTTTTGTAGTGAGTTAAATATATTTTCTCAGGATAACAGGCTTCCCTACTTTAAAGTCAGTTCATAGAGTGATTCCTCTTATCCTTCAGAGGAAAAGGCAGTCCAGGAGAGAACAGAGTAAAAAGAGGTGGACTGCGCGCTGTGGCCCAGCCCCCTGTCCTAGCTGTGGTGCTGGTTCTGGCTCTTGATCAGGCTCAGTTTGCTCTTCAGGCCCTGGCAGTGTGCCGACAGGTTGCTGTTGTCCTCCAGCAGCTTGCCATGCTCCTGGATGAGTCTGGATGACGTCTGCTGCTCCCTCTGGTCCTGCTCCAGCTCAGACATCAGCTCCTGCCTTAAACAGGGAGCAGCACAGAGCCTCTGTCAGTACATCATGGACACTTTCTAAACGAACCCCTTTATGTTCAACTAAAGTCAATTTTACAGGTCGGTCAGGAATCAGAAAACAGCTAGCCTTTATTAATCAGTAAGCTATAGAGCTGTCGGTAGTTGTATTTTCAAACTTTGGACAGAGCCAGGCTAGCTGCTTCCAGTATGCTAAGCTAGGCTAACAACAACCTTCTTAAAGCTGCAGTAGGTAACTTTTATAAAAAATAACTTTGTTATATTCACTGAAACTTTCACTATATCCTGACAGTAGAACATGAGACAGATAATCTGTGATGAAAACATCAGGTTCCTCTGGCTCCTCCTAGTGCTCCTAATGGCATTTGGCAGCTGTGGCTCAGAGGCAGAGCGGGTCGCCCCCCAATCAGAAGGTTGTTGG